CCCCCCACCACACACACACAACAAAAACAAACAAAAAAAGAAAAAAAACTTTGCCGTCTTTAGGAGGGGGAAAAAAGGGCAAAATGCCCATTACCCGAGGGAAATTTTCTCCATCAGTCAAGGGACAACCTAGGAGGCGACCTTGGCTTAGCAAGGTGCTCGTCTAAGCTGCATGAGGGGCCACCCAGGAACATGGCGCCTAGGGAAGCTCTAGGCTAGGCAGGGCACTTTGGCCCCCAAGGCGGGGAAGGGGCTGCCTAGGCACTAGCATGAAAAAGGAAGGGGGGAGGGGGGGCCCATTTTTTGAACGACAGTGATAAAACATTCACTATGCATTGTTGATGTCGAATGGTACCTCACTACTGACAAATAGAAACCCTTCACCTTAATCTTCCAAGAAGTCACTTGAGCCCCATAGCAATACAACTGAAAAACCTAGAGAAAAACAAATATGAACAACCTAATGCCATGAAATATAAATAAGCCACATCAGACAATATCTTAAATCCAACTGTGTATCCTTTCAATGTAAAGCTATCAAAACAAAAGTAACATGAAGCAAGCACAAAACAACAAATGTCAATAACTGATTCAGTATGAAGCCACTTCAGGTAAACCCAAAAATTAAAAAAAAAATGAAATCTAAACTCTGAGATGAAACTGCATTGAAAAGTGAGAATAATTAATATAGCCCAACCAAAATAGGATTGGCATGTGTACCCATACAATATTTAATATTTGTCCCCCTTGAAGCATTAGCCAGAATATGGAGGAAAAAACAGAGGGAATTCAACCAGAGTGCAAAGGAAATCACATATAAGCCATATCCAACACAGTTACAGCTACCATTCTCAAAAAACAAAAAAACAAAAAAAGGAAAGAAAAACAAGCATCTTCATCAAATCCCACTTTAGTTTCATCTTTTTAAGAACAACTGTAGGCAAGGGTTCATTTTCTTATTAAGAATGTAAAATAATGATAGCAATGAGCAATTAATTTGTTGCCGAGATGTGCTGTCATTAAGAGATTTTTCCTGTTGACATGTCTCTGGTGCCATGAGCTCACGAAAAGACCCTGCGGGCCCTTGTTATGCAACAACAGAAGCACAAAGGCAACTGATCATTGGCAGAGACAAGATTATTCTGATTTTCACGGATGGGGAGGCAGAAGATTATAAACTACATGGAGACGAAGTCCTCCGAGGAGAAAGCAGCCCGCCATTAGAGGCGGGTAAACAACCATCCCAACCCCCTGCATTATGCTCATGTCCCAAATGGGGAATTGAGTGGCCATAAGACAGTAAGACAATTATCCTGTTTCACATGGATACAATAATACCTTCACTAAACCAGAAGTAGAGGTTCCAATTGTTTCTCACCTTCCATCCAAGTCCATATATTATAAGAGAGGTTTAAATAGGCAACACAGACATCTGCCCAAACACTGTGAGGATCTTTTCAAGGAGCATTAATCAAGAGAATGGGGATTTTGATCCTTTATTAGTTTGGAAACACTTTACTGAAACTATAAAAGGGCGAACTGATTTGTCCATTAGAATCAAGGAAGCAAGAGACATACCTCAGCAAAGATCAGAAGCAGCTTAGCATCAAAAGGGTTCGGTATGCTTGGATGGGTCGCAGGATATTGCTTGAAAGGAAATGGGTTGGAAGTCTTAAAGCACACAATTCTTCTTAGCAGCTAGGAGAGTCTCAGGTGCTTCAACTAGTTGCTGCTTTGTTCCATATGGGGATGCCCAAAGCATATTGAAGGAAATTGGATCAAGGAGATACAAGGTTGGCTGTCTTGGAGGAAGAAGAGGGAACTGGAGGGAAGTTTAATATGAAAAACAAGATCATCACTACTAGGCTACTAGCTCATGAAGTTCAAAGGAGGAGGCAATGAGGAGGAAGCTGAGGGAAGAGGAAGGGAGGAAGGATGAATTTAAGAACATAGGTTTGATTTAAAGGTTTGATAAAGAACAGGGATAATGAGAAGGAATGCCCTGTAAGCATTGTTCCACAAAAAAATTATTCTATGATGATCGAGTGATGGTTTGAGGAAGGATATTTCATAGGGAATATATCTGTAATGATATCTCCAAGTGTTGGAAATAGGTATTTTATATCCCATACCACGGAGCTTGGAGACTTTATGAGATCATGAAGCACTATTTTGCTTTGAATAAAGTTCTTTGGGTCAAATTAGTCAAAGGAAGAAACTTCCAGGCAAAAGCACAGCAGAATCACGTCAATTATCCACCCCTGCAGGGTCCATCACTGCTGTTACAGCCAACTTTGTCTTCTATGCTTGCAGTAAGAATCTCATTAGAAGCCAGAACTTCCTCATCCTTCAGGTTCTCCAAGGCCTGATAGATGTACTTGATCAGTTTTCAGAACTCGAACTAATTGCCAACTCTGACCAAGCCAAAACAAGTGAACTTGCCAAGTAGAACAGTTAAAACATCCCAAGTTTTTCATTTTAAAAACTCAGGCACCTGATAAGTCAAGCTGACTCAGTTGATGAATTTTTCCAACTCAAAATAAATGTTTCTTTAATGTACTTGATCTCAATTACAGAGGGATCAATTCCCAGCCAGAAAAAGATTATGACTTCAAGTATCGATGCCCTAACAATTGATTCCTCAATCAAGAAAAGCTCATGATCAAGGTCCCCTTGAACTTTAAGCTCTAAAGACATGCAACAGAAACACCATAAACATGGAAAAGTGACTGTACGCAAATAAAATTAAACAAGTTCATCGAAAGTTTAGATCAGAATTTAACAGAGAAGATAATGCATGAATTCATCAAAAATTCATTGCTGATCAATTCAAATAATGCATCAATTCATCATACAATTCTTGGGAGATCAGGATGACAGGGAGAAAAAAAACAAGGATCCAAGAGACATAATTGATGAATTAGAGAAACAATATCTAAAAGATGCTCCAAAAAACACAAAAAGTGGTTGTTTAAATAAATAAAAAAAATGCATGAAAATATTCAAATGCCAAATTAAGCTGACAAAGAATAAATCTGAATGCATAATGAGTAATATAGATGAAACTCCAAAATCCATGCTCCTCTTAAATTTAATGTTTTAGAGTTGATGTATGAATTTTATCAAAATTCCCAACTAATTACCACATGCATTTAAATGAGAAGGGAATCTGCATAACTTTGAGCAGGAAAAAGATAGTCCAAGAATCAATGCAAATTAAAATGCAAAAAATCATCAAATGACATATTCAATAACAAAAAGGAAAATGGCATATATTCTCCATTGCAAAATGTTCTCTAAACCATCCAGATTTAGATTTAAATACATGACCATAAAGATCAAGCTTCCTGCAATTCTTTTATCATAACCATAAACAAAATAGCAGGACCTACAAAACACAAGAAGCCATAGTCAGAATATGGAGAAAAAAACAGAGAGAATTCAACCGGAGTGCAAAGGAAATAACATATGAGCCATATCCAACACAGTTACAGCTGCCCTATAAGAATCCCACAATTTTTTTATGAGAAAAGGTTGACTCCTAGAATTCACTTAAATAATATCTCCGATCAAGCCTCTGATGCAACAAAGATAAGAGCAATGGACACAAAGATCGGATTGAAAAATCATCAACAAACACGAGTTCCACTCAAGAATTTCATAAATATCATCAAAACAAAAGCAAACACAAACAGGGGTTTTCTCATCCAGGGGGCTGCAATGATCCCTTTTCCTGAGACTCCATTAGTTTGCAGAGCAACTCATCATTCCAATAAAACAACATTTCTTTTGCAGATCTAGTAAACTGACACCTAAATCCTCAGCAATTTGTAAATGACATGTATACATTTAAGTTAGCATCTAATAAACTAAATTAGGATCTAACTAAATGAACTGACTTTTAATGAACATTCCTTTTTTTTATGATTCGCCAACCATATAGCATCAGGAAGGCCAAAATGGTCCCTTTGTAGACAATCCCTATATATACATATATATATTGAACCTGGTCATCATTTTTGAATTGCCGATTACGTCATAGATCTTCAGTTCCTAAAGCTGTCGCTGCAATGACCAATCTCATGCCTATCAGACTACTCTAGTACAATATTTAAAAAGTGGCCAGTCTTATGACTATAAGACTACTCTAGTACCATATTTAAAAAGTAAAACACCATTGGTTGGAAAGATTCATCATCAGCCCCAAGGCAGAACAATGCCTTGATCACTAGCAATACCAATAAATGAAATTCTAGAGTTCAGTTCAGCAAGTATATCTTAGCAGTTCTTATCACGTGCTATTATTATTGATCAATCTTATAAGATTCAATCTCAAAAAAATATATATACAAGGGACACAAAAGATTGTCTAGTACAGCCAGTTTCGTCCAGAATTTGCTTGCCCTCTGGTTGAACAAGTTCTGATTGTCTTTCTCTTATGTTCCCTATTCTATTTTGTTGGCGGGAAAGTTGTCGGACGTCATAAGAGGACACTGATTACTTTTTTCATTTGCTAAATAGTCCGGTTTTGCAAATGCTATAATTGACCAGTCATTGTGAGAAAAGGTCCCATATGTTTCTTTGCTCCTCTTACTTCACTTGCCCATCCAATTGCAAGGGATATGATCAAGTTTCTCACAACTTCATCCTTGAACTATCCAAGTCTCCAAGATATTATATCTGCTAAAATTCTATGGTGGCATTAGTGCTACAGTTTAATAGCATATTACATGACAGATGGGCAAGCAACAAAAATTTATTAGTGCATGCAACTTCAAGCTTGAACAGCATCATGGTTTAGCCGCATGCTAACAGTATCTAAGAACATCTAACAATAAAATATATGGAACCTTCTTTAACCTACCATACTTAAAAGGCTAGGGGCAACTTGAATATGACTGGCCCAACTGACAAAAATCTCGAGTCTTGACAAATTAATAATATTAGACTGGAAATAGAACTAAACAACCATGATCTGTTTGAGTTGAAAAAAGCAAACGGAAATGAAAAATCAATGTGGTATTCTGCTGCACATGAAATACAAAATTGTCTATCGGTTCATGTGATGATTACCCTGTCTTCTGATTTTAAACCAGCTGAATTACATACAAAATGGAAATTGGCTTTAAATAGTCACGAGTCTCCACATGAAATGGCGGCTTCAATAGTTCCTAGTCCCAGAATCTGTGGAACCCACCAAGCTTCACGTCCAAAACACATTTAGGGCACCCCCAGTTCATCCTGGCCATTCAGCTCCATACCAATCTCTGCCCCATGTCCCCTTCATGCTTCAGATACAAAGGTAATCCAAGAAAGGCCATAGAATGCAGACCTAAAATTGACAGATTAAATATTCTTAATTTTTACTGTCAGAAGAAAACTATATGGGACGGTCAACAAACCCTTTCTCTGTCATCATCTCTACCAATTCTTCATGTTTCTTAATCTCACCAGCTTTTCTCAACTGCTCTAGCAGCATCTTGTACACAGGTAAAGTAGGTCTCAAGCATTTCTCTTCCATCATCTCCTTGAAGAATTTATAGCCCTGGTTCCAATGCCCAATCCCACAAAACGTAGAAATCAAGACTCTATACGTGTTCACGTTTGGTTCACAACCATTCTTATCCATCTCCTTCTTCAATTTAATCACCATATCAGTCGATTTACTCTCTGAGAACATCCTCATCAGAATGTTATATGTTATTGTGTTAGGTTGACACCCCAAATCCTTCATTCTCGAGAAGAGACGGTGTGCTCCATTAACATCCTTCAACTTGGAAATACACTGAAACAAGAGATTGAAACTAGAAGCATTAGGATTACACCCTTTGCTAATCATCTGGTTCAAAACCTTGAGCCCTTTATCCAAATTATCATCCCTACAGTGGGCTTCTATCAAAAAATTGTAGGCTATCACATCAGGATCACACCCCATTCTCTTCATCTGGTTATAAACCTGAGAGACCTTCTCAATCTCATTCGCCTTCACATGAATCCGCATCAAAGCATTGAAAGTTGCTGCATTAGGGGCACAATTAGCATTAACCATTTCTCTAAACATATCATAAGCACGATTAACCTGCCCAGCCCTACAAAGAGCGTCAATTACAATAGTGTAAGTGTACACATTGGGTTGGAAACCATTCTCTTTCATCTCTTTAAAGACCCTCTCGGCCTCTTCTATGTTATATACGCGGCACCAACCATACATCAAGGTGGTGTATGTTACTAAATCAGGAGGAAACCTATCTCTCAAGCTACTGAAAAATGATTGAGCTTCTTGGGCTCTTCTCTTCTTACACAGAACACTTAGAACTATAGTAAAAGCTATTGAATCAGGTTTGGGTCCATAATCTTCCATTTGATTGAATGCATGAACAGCTTCAGCTGCAAGCCCAGCCCGAACATATCGCCTGATCAACATGGAAAATGTTTCGACCCCAATTTCCAGTTTTTCGGTTTTCATGAAGTTTATCAACTCCCAAGCCAAATCAAAGCGACGAACTTTGCCAAAAAGATCAATCATTTCATTGAAAACGGAAGTTTGTGGTTCAAATCCAGGTTGAGAGAGAGCCCAGTTGAAAAAAGCCAGAGCTTGGATCCATGGTATCCCACGTCGAAGGCTTCCACATTTTTCAATAACTCGTTGAGCTTGGAACGGGGTGATGAGAGAGAAAAACTTGGAAAGCTCTTGGTTTAGGGAGAGAATGGCAAAAGTGGGAGCCGAAGGTTTGAGCTCGTGGTTCTCTGGAAATGGGTTTTTCCTGTAATGGTCTCTGAGCAACAGGTAAGCCTTCTCTGCAACTGGGTCTTCCTGAATTGCAGGTTTTTCATCGCCATTGGTCTCATGAAGAGTGAGAAGATTGAAAGTTGAAAAGGGAGAAGAGAGACAGAGTATGGTTTCACGTAGAGCTAGGAGATACCGGGTAGAAGAATGAGAATAAGCTTTCCTTAAGAAGTGAACATTGAACAAATTGACGCTCATGGTGGATGCAAGGATGCAGAAGGGAGGTGTAATCTGCAATCTGGAAGCTACAATGGCTCCGTGAAGGTAAAACCCTAATTTCTCGGAAGGGATGTGCAATCTAGAAGCTCCAATGGCTAAAACCCTAGTTCTCAAAAAGCATGCCTAGCGGGTAGCAAACAACCCTGGTTGTATCAAAAGCGATACTACGATATGAATAATTAATTCATGGGAATGTATGATACCAGTGTTTTTAAAAACGCCGTGCCCAACTCGAAATCGCAAAAAGTGGATCGGCTAAAAAATCGAAAATCGTCTGGTTTTAGAGAGAATCGGACGATTCTGTATAGTGACTCACCGATTCATTGTATGGAATCGGCGAGTCTGAACAGTGAATCGGCGAATCCCGTACGGGTATTTTTTTTTTTTTTTTTTTTTTTTATTTTATTTTTTATTTTTAACCCATGATAGATTTTTTTGTAATACTTAATCGATTTTTTTGTAATCCATGATCGAATTGTTTTTGTTTTTTTGTAATCCATGATCGAAATGTTTGTTTTTTTTCTTATAATTCATGATCGAATTTTTTGTTTTATTTTTTTTTTGTAACCCATGATAGAATTTTTTGTAATCCATGATCGAATGTTTTGTAATACATGATCGAAATGTTTGTTTTTTTTTGTAAACCATGATCGAAAT